GTGTCCCTGTCTCCGTGTCTTTCTCTGACTTACTGTTTCTGGTTCCTAGTCTGTGTCTGTGTCTGTCTGTCTGTTTCTCTCTCTCTTCCTCCCTCCCTCCTTCCCTCCTTCCCTCCATCTCCCTTTCCTTCTTTCCTTCTTTCCTCTTTCCCCTCTTCCCTCCTCTCCCTCTTTCCTTCTTTCCTCACTCCCTCCTCTCCCTCCCTCTTCCCTCGTCTGGTCTTGCGAAATCTCATCCCTCTTATCGTTGCCATAATTGCCAAGGCGAGAAAGCTTGAGCATCATGAGAACATTGCAAATCCCCCTCTCCCCCCCCTCTCCTCCCCCCCTTTTCCCTCCCCCTCCCTCCTGCGGTCAGGTTCTTTGAAAGATGAGGTCGTTTATCATTTTGTGTATTTGTTAGTTTTGTTTCTCGTCTTATGGTATGGCTATATATACAATATATATATATTTTTTTCTTCTTCCTTTCTTTCTTTTCTTCTTCGTCTTTTCTTTTTTTACCTTTGTTTTGAAAAAGTCTTTTTCCAGTCTATGTGCGCGTTCTCTCTCTCGCTCTTCTCTCCTCTCTCTCTCTCTCTCTCTCTCTCTCTCTCTTCTCTCTCGTCTCTCTTCTCTCTCTCTCTCTCTCTCTCTCTCTCTCTCTTGTCTGTGCTCTCTTCGTTCTCTCTCTCTCTTCTCTCTCTTCTCTCTCTCTCTCTCTTCTCTCTCTCTCTCTCTCTCTCTCTCTCTCTCTCTCTCTCTCTCTCTCTCTAATATCAGCAATATTTACTCTTATCTCCCCTTTTTTTCACTCCCTTTTTTCACTCCCTCCTCTCTTCTCCTAATCTTCCCTCCCTTCTTTATTTCAAAATCTTCTTTAATCTTTCCTTTATTCATCCTCCTTCCCTCCCTTCCTAACTTCCCCCGGAACCTTATGCAGGGAAGGACGAGGAAGAGGAGAAGGAGATGAAGGAGGAGAATGAGGAGGAGGAGAAGGAGAAGGAGAAGAAGAAGGAGAAAGAAGGAGAGGAGAAGATGAAAGAATGAAGAAGGAGGAGGAGAGGAAAAGGAGAAGAGAAGAAGATGAAGAATAATAATAATATAAAAGAAGAAGAAAAAGGAAAAGTAAGAACAAGAAGAAACAAGAAGAAGGAAAAAAAGAAGAAGGAGGATGAGGAGGGAGAGGAGGGAAGAGGAAGAGGGAAGAGGAGAAGGAGGAAGAAAAAAAAAGAGAAATATTTTCTCGTCAGTCACGCTAACACAGATGTTCAACAGCTTAAGAAATTTCGTCGAAGTTTGCAGAAGTTTCGTGTATTTGGGAAGTCTAGACTAAAGGCTCCGGTATTTACAAGGCGCTGGCTTGGCAATATCCTATTATATATGGATTTGGCGGAGGTAAAAACGGCCGGCTTGTATTCATTAGGTGAACTTTGATGGTCTGGCGAGATCGGTGGCCGGAGGGGCCTTCGTGTGTGTTGTTTGTGCTTGTTTGTTGTTGGAGGTGGGAGGACGGGTTGGGTGGGAGGAGGGGTGGGTGGGGGTTTGGTTAGTTGGGTATTTTTGTTTGTATTTTAGTTTTTGCCTTTTTTTCTCCCTTTCGTTCGTTCTCTTCTTTCTCTCTCTCTCCTCTCTCTCTCTCTCTCTCTCTCTCTCTCTCTCTCTCTCTCTCTCTCTCTCTCTTCTCTCTCTCTCTCTCCTCCTCTCTCTCTCTCTTCTCTCTCCCTCCCTCCCTCCCTCCCTCCCTCCCTCCCCTCCCTTCTCCTCACTCACTCCCTCCCACATCCCCTCCTCCCCTCCCTCCCCCTTCCCCCCTTCCCCCTTGCCTACTTCCTTCCCTCCTTCCCTTTCTCTCTCCCCATTTCTGCAGACCCCTTTCCTCTCCCTTTCCCCCAAAGAACTTTAAATTCGCAAGGCAACGTTGCAGATCCGGCACAGAGCTGCAGCTCATGTCTTGGCTCAAAGAATTACTCCAGACATTTTTTCATTTGGATTTAATTTTTTTCTTTTCCTTTTCCCTTTTTTTTAATCTTTTTTCCTTATCTACGTTTCTTGGATAGTTGAATATGATGAATAACGTTGAGAACGGGAATCCTTACGTGTTTATGAATTTGAAAGGGCAATCCGTTTCTATTGAATTGGCCGAGAATTTATCGTTATTATTATTAGATTAGAATTATAAATTAGGAAGAGTTGTGTGTGTGTGAGAACTGTGATGTGTGGTGTGTGTGCTGTGTTGTGTGAGGTGTGTGTGTGTGTGGCGTGTGTGTGTGTGTGTGTGTGTGTTTTCTTTTTTTTTCTAGAATTCCTAAATTTGATGAAAGTCAAAACTGTATGATTTGGTTATTAGTTCATTTGATTTGGTGCTATTTTTATCTTGTGATGGATTGTGCGGCTGATTCATGCCGATTCGCTCATACAGCCTGCGTGCACATTTATTAAGTATATAAATGTGTGCGCATTTATTGTATATATATATAATATATATTATATATATATATATATAGTATATATAATATATATA